AAGTAGTGGCTGTGAAAAAATTCATGGCTCACTCCAACAGTCGTTCAAGAAATGCAGTCAAGAAAAAGAGAAAGTGCAAGCGCTTTGATGACGAATTTGGAGCTCTTCCTTGACAACATACCACTGAGAATGAAAACAAAGTTGCCAAGAAGATAGAAGAACACCACTTCTAGCACCTAGGACATGTCTTCTTCCCGATCATTCTTTTGGAATCTTTCCACTCCACCCTGCTGAACTGATGCGTCAAAACTCGTACTTGCGCAGGAAAGCTAGTCCCTTCCCAACGTCTAGTCAGCAATTTCTACACCAACACAACGACCAACGCTCCAGACCAAAGTGTATTGTTGACTCTGCCAAGGAAAAATGGCGGTCATCACTTGTCACTCTAAACGGCAATCTTCTCCTTGCGCCACTTACATTTTTCGCTGCGACAATTGATACAAACGTGGCTAAAGGTTTGCATGCCGTTTTTTAGATAATCCACCTATTTGGAAAAAAATTGTTGGAGGTCATCTCTCACCGAAACTCTGGCTCCGAGTTTGTGAATTAATTTCCAGGTTGAAACAGCGCAGGAAACAGACCATAATAGGGAAAATGGAGCCGTTTTGAAAACCACGCAAGTGGTTACAGACATGGGAGGCCCTCTCCACCTTGTGTGTGGGTGTATGCATTCTTTTCTTCGGTTTTACCGATTAGAAATATTGTGCTTTACTGTTTTTGCAGTCGCCAGTTCTTGCAGCGGTGCTCTCGTCCAATCCTATCAGTTTAACATGGCTACCAAGTATTTCTGTGAATGTCCTACTGGAACACTCTACAATGGAACGCAATGTGTACACGGCACGCCCATTTGTAAACCGACATCGCTCAGTATGCCATCATGTTCAACATATCCCACGTGCACACCAATTGCCACAACCCCCAACTACCAGTGTGTTTGCCCGGCAGGCTTCAATATCTCCAGTGATGGCCATGTGTGCGAAAATGTTGATGAGTGTACCAGCCACTCTCATACATGCACAGGCGATGAAGTTTGTGAGGACACCTATGGCAATTTTACATGCACCTTGACATGCAAGGCAGGGTACTTTGGTAAGTCGAAATTCCATTGACAAAATGTTTTAGGTGGACTGCTGCATATCCTTGAAGTCAAGTTCATGCTTTTAAACCCTTTTACTGGCGTCTGTCGTAAGCACACGGGCTAACGATTTTCAAGAACTGGTGCATGTTGCACTGCTGGCTTCACCTAGTACCTGTTCACCACGACCTCCGCCGTGACCACGGCCTATTCCACGGCCGCGTCCTCTCCCTCAGTCACGTCCTCTGCCACATCATCCTTCCGTTATTAGTTGCACTTATCCCAGCGACACTGTCATCGTCTGTGACATCCATGCCACTCTCACTGGCCCTGCCTTCACTCACCATGACTATTGTCATCGTCGCTGTCGTTGTCAGAAAATGTTTTTTTCACCAGGATCGTCTAGCTCCACAAACTCATATTTGCTGGATAAGGCGGCGACAGGGTCAACAGGAAGGGTCTCCCGAAGCAAAAGAGCTTACTCCGCGTCCATGGTTTGCACAGCAGGGAAGACAGTCGCGAGGCCAGCTCAAGCAAAAGTCGAAAACATCTCCAGGCAATACCAAAAGTCGCAGGGTACACACTTTTCCCAAAGTGCATTTTTCAAGTCGCGATTCATTATAATTATTGCATAACACAAAATATTAATTTTAGGGCCGAAACAATTATACCGATAACTCGCATATCGATCGTTAAAAGAGTGCAATCGATAATCGTTAGCGTTCAAATGAGTTTGAAACTCGGGTATTGAGCCAATAATAAAAGTAGAAAGGAAAAGGACATATGGAAACGAGTTAAGAGTGACTCTCCACCACTGTAACTAGATACTATATACAGTCAGAAAGTGCAACAACTAGGCACAAAACTGACAGAGTACTGAGAGAGGCGACGTCCTGACACCTAGCTTCGTCGAATGTCTCAGTACTCTGTCAGTTTTGTGCCTAGTTGTTGCACTTTCTGACTGTATATAGTATCTAGTTACAGTGGTGGAGAGTCACTCTTAACTCTTTTCCATATGTCCTTTTCCTTTCTACGTTCAAATGAGTGCTAACAATTTGTATGCATGCATATCAGTGACAGTATTCTAGCCCTTGCACTCCATATGATAGTGAATACGAGTGCAATCATGTGCTTTCAAGCGCTGTAAAATTAATGTGTGGCTTTGAAAGAGATCGGCGAAGAAGACGTTGCCTTTTTCGGTTCATTTGTGGGAGAAGTCGGAGATTCGAGCAGTTGCCAGAGGGTGATGACAAGATTCTTCGCTCTAGAAACACCATGAATGTTGATAAAACCAGCCAGAAAGCCTCACCATCACTATGCTTCCACTGTGCAATTTTTTGTCTTTACCTGTGAGCTGTGATCATTGTCACAGATCTACAGATCATCTACAGATGATGATCTACAGATCATCTACAGATGTCAACAGTGCGGTACCACAACTTTCTAACGTAGCAAAGTCATCATAGAATTTCTTCATAAACTGGTGTTCGATAGAGCCGACAAGCGTCGATAAAACCAATATATCGATCGTTAGTGATAGTGATATTGGTTGATCGTTAGGAGTTATTGAATGATCGTTTCAGCCCTAATTAATTGTGTTGGCGCCCTCGGCGCATACATCTTGGAAATTGGTAGGGGAAATCCCAGCTCTCTGCAGTGAACCAGTCCAGTGCTGTGCGCCTAGAAGTCAGCGACCGCGAGCGGTCCAAATTTGTACGTACAGACGGTGAAGGGATAACAGCCATCTTTTTTAATTACTCTAGTTGAAGTATACAACATAATGTTGCCTGTGTTTGTTTTTCATGTTGCACAACCTTACACAATCCAGGCTTCGGAAATCTGTGCAGAAATCTAGATGAGTGTGCACTGAAGGGTCTGGCGAACTGCTCAGCAAATCAGGCATGCGTGGACACAGACGGATCATATGCATGCCGATGCGCACTCGGGCTCACAGGTAGGAAGTCTTTGTATGATGTGTATGTAAATGTGGAATGGCAATCCCTTGTGCAGAAATTGCGGCATCATGAGATCAGACCGGTCGACAAGGTATAAGATTATTGCAGTAGATATGAAGGTGGCTCTGCCTTTTGTTGTGCAATAATCTCGCTCTATATGTGTTCCTCCTCAAATTCAGGTACGGTCAATTCCGGTATTACGACTGCAGATAATAACGACAATCCGGGAAAAAGACAGAATTTCCATGCCCAGAGCAAAGTCCCATCTACCTGTATGCATATAATGAAACGTCGGGTGTAAGGGCACTGCACGAATAAGCACGGTTTTCTGATGCTCCACCTTGTGTCGATATACTAGGTCCGCCCAGTTACAATTGGCGCTTACCTTCACTCTTGTCTAAAGAAGAAAATACAATGATTTGAAGCATGGCACGAGCAGAAAACACTATGATAATTTACATGTCTGCAAGCAACACAGCCGAAAATGCAACCAAGTTACATGTCCTCCTTACCGATATCGTCGCTGGAGTAATAGGTCAAAACAATTCTTCCAGCTGACAGCTGCTGCACGTGTTGCTCGTTCCGCTTCTCCGCGTCGAGAATCGTGGTCACAGCCAGTGAGCTGTCGTGACTGTCACCTCGCCGCTCAGAAGCGGAGTGAGCTGCAAAACAGCCGGTGTGGTGGCTGTATGTGTTGCTTGTCGCAATAATGCCTTTGTACGAAGCAAAAAGGCAACGCCACACTGCCATCATTTTTCAGGTAGTGTTCCCAGGCGAAGGCCACCGCACCTACCAGATCTTTTACATTTTCCTTCGCCACGAGCTCGGTGTCCTTCTGCAAGCCGGCAAAGAATACGAGATCGTTGGTGGTGAGATTTGGAGACTGTGGCGGCTGCACAACCACTTCGATCTTGTAGCCCTTCTGTGCGCCAGACCATCGAAAAATCAAGTGAAAGGATAAGCGCCAATTTTAACTTGGCGGACCAAGTATGCAAAGTTGACTGAAATTCCATTAAGGAGACTGACCCACTAAGAAACCATTTTAAATCATCCGAACTTCTGTTTAAGGCCCGTTATTGCAATTGAAGAGAACCACACTGTTTTTTCTCACCCTCTCATCCAGTAACAACCTGCCCTTATGGCGGAAAAGAGATTTGATGATAGTAGTGCACACTTCTGAAAGTGAAGGTTCCTTATTACCGGCTGAACGTGTATTTACTGGAAGCTAAAAATTCATGTTTGTTAGTTACCGGTGAAAAAATCATTGAAACAAGGTTGTTTATCTGGAAACCATTGAGTTGTCGGTTGTAAGGTTAGAAATTCTTTTCAGGTTATCGATAGCATTACAGGTGTGCCTCCATCACTTCTTTTTTGGGGCAAAATGCCATGGAGGGTAATATAGTCCCAGAAAGCCAGACCACTCGGAATAAGAGTTCTCCATCATAGATATCATGATTGAAGTTGCCGGTGCCTGTTTGGCAGTAGCTGGTGGTTCAAAAGCTTTTCCACTGCTTAAAAAGGCCAGTTTGCAGCTGTTTGTAAGTACCGAGTACCACTATACTGTGTGGATGGTGAATGACGGCATGATTGTTTCACCCCTAATGATAAGTGACTCCAAAGTCCTGTGTTTAATTTTTGACTACTGAGGAAATGTGTTGCCTTTCTCCCATTGTCACTTTTCCTCTTCAGGTAATAGTGGATCTTGTGTGGATATTAACGAATGTAATCCAGTGAGTGGCAGTCCCATCACTTGCCCGCCACACTCTACGTGCCGCAACACAATCGGATCATATTCTTGCGAGTGCATCACCGGCTTCCAGGCCAATGCGCTAGCCGCCAATCAGTCGTGCCCGGGGACGATATCAACCATGTGTGAGAATGTGGATGAATGCAAAAGTGGAGCATTTTCGTGCGCAGCAAACATGCACTGTAATGACACAGTCGGCTCCTATGTATGTGAATGCAACACGGGTTATGCAGCTCAAGGTAAGAATGTGTGTTCTTTGTAGGAAAAACTCAGAATGCATTAGGGGACTTCCCGGTTTGATTGATCTATAGTGGATGGACTAAGATCAAAACTGGTTATGTCACACCTGCTTTGAAATGAAAGCTTGAATATGAGCCGAATACTTTACCGCTGGCACCCATCAACTTGGACAGCTGAAACTTGCCGTATGAAGGAAAACGGTAGAACAGATGCTGCTTTATGCTCCATACTCAGGGCAATGTCACTTTGCCATGCAGGCATTGGTATAAACATGTGCTGTAGGCGTCATATAAGTCCAAATATCAGCTTAGCCCCCAGTTTAACAATCCTACTGAAAACACAAAGCAGGTCAGGAAGCTTCGACCGTGCCAGGAAGCATCAATACTTGTCAACCAGCAAGCCTAAATCAGTTGTCATTACTTGCAACCGTGATTATCTCGTTCTGATCAGTGAGTGCGCAATTGACCTGGTTACCTCCGTTTCTCAAACATGATCTCAGACTATCCCATTTCGCCTGCAAAGCAAAAATTACCATTGTTTTTTGCTTGGGGATTTAGGGCGTAACATCGAGCGAAATTGCGTAAGTTCGAGGTGAATCTTTATCCTGCCTATAAGTATGTTGTTGGGAAGATTTGGATATCCCAATATCAAACCCTGGGGTCGGCCGATAGGTTTCCTGTAGATGAAAGTATGTATTCATCTGCCTTTCTACATAACTATAACAATCTTCAATAAGGTTTTAGTCGTTTCAATGACCAAAGGCAACGACCACATGCAAGGACTGTGACATGGGCATGGAAAGGAAGGCTAAATTACGGTGCTGGAAGAAGCATAGATGCTGAAATCAGCATCTATACAAGAAAATGAGCAGAGCACACTTTTGCTGCAGTCCTGGAGCAAGGGATGGCTTCAGAATACGATTATTCATGCAATGTCAGACAGAGACCATCTGTACAAATGAGATGTGACCGATTTGATCGAAGTAGTGCAGCAGAGCGGGCCGCCGGAGAACAAGGAGATGATTGGTGCTGTTTGAATGCCTAACGGGGGGGGGGGGGAAGGGGGGGGGCATTGTAAAGCTTCGGATGACATGAGTTGCAGCGTACACCACAAGCCAGAAGCGTGGCCAGCTAAAAAAATTAAGGTACCAGCTGAAGCAGATCAGAAGGCCAAAAAAGGCTGCGTTACTTAAGAGAACTCATCACTGGGGGTAGATAACGAATGAATAGTAGATAAAGCAGGGGCGACGGAAGATATTTAATGGTGGTACGGTCACACAACTGAAGTACAGTCGTCCCTCTCTAATGCGGCACCTTTTGCTACAGCGTTTTCTGCTGGATTAACGAGAGTGCTGGATTAAGAAATCCTGCCCTCTGACCCAGCCCTACCCAATTGCATGCATGTATCATATGTACGTCAAAACGCAGGGTTTTTCCGTGTCGACCCAAGTATTTGGTGCACGGCTTTATATTCTCAATTGTTCTCCAGGAATATACACAGTGATAAAGTGATAAAGTAAAACAGAGAACATGTTCACATGTACTCTTGCACACACACGCGCACACAAACACACCTGAACTTGAATTGGCAGGACATACTCCTTGCTAAAATAAGAAAGTATGGTTGACTGCCGTTGTCTCCTGGACAACATTTACCAGACTGGCCTAGCCTGGCCTGGCAAGGAGTGCACCTGTACGGTACGCGATTTACGACTGCCGGATTAGGAAATCAAACTACGTGCAGTTTGAGCGATTCGTTTCAAAAAGTCACTGCCGAAGGCGGAATTCAAGTGCCGGATTAAGATGTAGGAATTGAACGAAAAAAATCGGTTTCGTCAGAAAGTGCACCAGTTGGCAAGGGTTCCGGATAAACAAGTGCCGGATTAGAGAGGGACGACTGTATAATTTACTTTGGGGGAGGGATGGCTGAGACGAAAATGTTGCCAATTTAGAGCCCAAATCAGTGTAATATATTGTTTCTATGGGTAACTGGGGCAAACAATGGTACGGTCTATACCCTAGTGACCGTACTGTGTCTGACGCCCATGTAAAGGAATGAATAGATGTGTTGCTGTGAATGTACGGGGACCAAAAGCGCAGTGTGCGGTGGTGGAGTGTTTCAAAATCACCCTCTCCTGACGACGCACTTTATGGCTGTTTGCTATTCACCAATTCCACTGCATATAGGGGCTGGTGGGAGTTGCCTGAACATCAATGAATGCACATCCCATGTCGGAATCTGCAGTCTATCGGAAACTTGCATTGATACCCTCGGCTCATACATCTGCATCTCCAATGACGAAGGAGTACGACTCTTTGGACCCCTGATCACACCTGCACCGACGCCCCCTGCACCAACCACCGCACCCACAACCGCTCGGAGCGTTACCACTGCACCAACCACCGCACCAACCACCGCACCAATCACCGCCACAACCACCGCACCAATCACCACATCCACCTCCGGCATGAGTGAGGGTTCAGGTAAGAAAATCACCAATTCAAGTGGTCAGTTCAACCAGCACAGCCCTATGCATGTTTAATGTCTAGACAGTTCTGGAATGTGCAGAAGAAATCCATAACCGCCCGAGCATACTTCATGTTAACATGGGTGCTTACGCAATTACTGGCTGGGCCTTGAAATTGTGGGGCTGTATAGTGGTCAGTTCTTCATGATATAGCTAATGCCTGACTTGTGATTATCAGATATGCATGTTCAAGGAATGCGAAAAATGGCAACATACAATGCAGCACAGCACAGAGAGGAATATGGACTAGGGCATGATTGCACAAAAACACAGCATGACAGTTCCTTAAACAGGCTCACTGCAACAGGCTGCCAACACCCAACCGGTACGGGTGTTTCTTCCGGAACCACGCCCAAACTCTCTCCACCTCAATGCTGCTTTTTCTGTGTTACCTCTCAGTTGTGTGTCATACGAGCGATCCGCTTCTCCATTGTGTCACCTCCACACATACTTACGATGTACGCAGACGGAGCAGAGACTGTCAGCATTGATGGTCATCCACGCTCACTACTTCCAAGACATTGAGGTGGAGAGAGTTTGCGCGTTGTCCCAGAAGCATGTACTATTATGCCTTATTTGTACGCCCTGCGCACGTCCCTCAACAGTGACCTTTCACCAGCTTGTTCACTTAGTTGAATAAATTCCGTGACCAGCAAAACTTTCCTTACTGCATTGTGGCTTTGCGCTTCCCAAAAATCTCCCCATAACTTTCTGCAACGAGTCCATGGTCCTTTTAAAGGAAATCCCTCATAACTCCAGCTTCCTGGATTATCCGGATCGAAACTGCCAAAATGAACGACTGACTGTATCGTGACCGAAAACGGAAAACGCTTGCCTACTTTAAAAAGTTGTCAAGTGAGGAGAAAGTATATCAGCACTCTCCGTGTTTGCGCGATCGATCGCGCGACACCATGACCGCGTACAACACATGCATGTATGTCGGACGTGTTCAGAGACAGAGAACAGGCTAGTTAAATAAAGCAGGTTTCTGGGCTGTCTCTCTCACGTCCCTGCCAACCTTTGCAAATCACAGGTCCGGACAGCTAGTGACCAGTGGACAACATAAATTCGGGGGAAGTGAACACGAGTGTGCAAAAAAATCAAGCACCTTCCTGGAACGCAATTTCACTATGAATTGGATTGGTTCTAGATGCGTTTTAAAAGAAGTTAGCATGACACGCTTATATACTATTAAGTCCGCTGCAAAAGCTCACTTCGCAGCAAACGCCCACCCCAGCAGGGCGATACTATTTTCCTCTTTTTCATTTAAATACAGTTGTAGAAAATCGTCCTGAAGGTTGAATGCACACGAGAACCACTGTATTGCCTAACATACAAACTTTCTACTAGAAGTATGTCTTACCAGTAGGCTCTGCTAAAGCAATTGTCATTATCTTGCATCAAAGAAAAACTTCTGTGGAGATTTCCTTCCATTCGATAAACGAGTCGTCTTTGTATCAGTTCGTTCTCCATGTGGTAATGCCGTAGAGTCTACATGTATCTGGTTTTCAAATCATGACATGTCTGCAGTGCCACGATGAATGCAATAGTGATTCACCGAATACAAGATTGTTCTGACGAAGCATCACTCTACAACTTGAACTGTTGCAGTATTGCAGTTGCAAGGAGAATAGGGAGAATGTCATAGAAGCTACAGCTACAAAGAAGCTGCTGAACATTTTGAAAACTCTGAAGTACTCGAGAAAAAAAACATGCCTTTGTGTGTTTTGCGATTGGGAAATAGAGATCCTTAGCAAAGTACGATAACGCTAACTTTTACCGTACTCACTCCCATCCGTGACGAAAGACGGTATCGGGTAATGGAAAAACGTTATAGAGCTCAAAATAAGGGGTCGACATTATGGTATTTCTGCAAATAATGTTAAAGTCTCATTGTTCTGTAACTGGCGGGAGATCAAAGACACGTGTAGATCGAGACCAGAGTCGAGATTGCTTCCTCTTGTGCCTTTTATCCTTTCAGTTGACAAAGTCTGCGTCCTCTGCTTTGTGCCTTTCACCCTCTTGTCCCATTTTGGGAAAGAAAAGACCAGTTCCACGGCACTCCTGAGGAAGAAAATTCATCGGCCTCTCCTAGACGTGCTGGAGCTGGAGTAACCTAACAGTCGTCGCTGTTGCGCATAGGAAAAGGTTTCCAAGGACCTGGGCACAGCGAAAACTCGTTTTCGCCGTGGATTTGCCATTCCCGGGTGAAAAAAGACCTCGCCAAGGTATTCATTCGGAACGACAGCAAAATAATCCCTGGTTTGAAATTTTAAACTTCCCACCCTTGTTTCCACAAAAAATCATATCGTCATGGTTGTTATGACTACATCGTTTGAATTATAGCATACATTGTGCTAAGTGAAAAGTCAGCTTGAACGATCCGAAGTACAGTGCTGTAAAGATTTGGTTTACGCTAGCGTTTTGTCAGCTAAAGATATCTAATGATGGCTTGAAACACCATCACACGTGTATCCTTGGTCCCTGCCATGCTATGTGTATGTTCTTCGCTACCTTGTAAGCTATTCGTAAGAAACTCCCGTTTGCATTGGCGAAAGAAAACCCAACATCATGATCATCACTGAGAGTTAGCTCATAGCTAGTGCCCAAAGAGAGTTTGAAACCAGGAAAATGGGCATAGCTTACCGTAGCAAACCGCTCTTTGCGCTACAGTGTGGGATGCACTTTCGTACGAGAGCGGTGACAGTGAATTGTGGTCAGCGCGTAGAGGCCAGGAGATGTTGCAAAAATGGGGTGGCAGTTTGCAGCGGACTTTACGGTACATGTACAGCCGACTCCTGATACAACAAACACTCCTGATACAACAAACACCATTGTGCAGGGGAATTAGTTCTTTATAACCAAAGTATGTTATAACAGAAATGCACTTGCACTATACAGGCAGCAAGTCATGACTAACATGTGCCCCATGACAGTATGAGTGCGCTAGGTTTACATGCAGCCCTGCAAGACTTAGTTCTCTATAAAGGGTCAATTGTGTATGGGTTGAAACGGGGACATGGACAGAGGTTTGCTATACATGTCCTCACTTGTTTGTAGATAATCTCTGGGCCATTGAAAAAGTTGTTTTATAACGAGTCTTACTAGTCTTATGTTGTAACAGGACTTGCAGCTGAAGGTTAAACAGGCCATAATTCGTACTTACCTGGGCTACCCTCGATACAACATAAATTATCGACGCTTCAACTCGTTATAAGATAATTGAAAATCTCCAACTTAGCTCTCCCTTGGATGCAAAAATCGTCCACATCTACGAAAACATAGATATAATACGTTGTGTCTTCCTGCGTTATCTACATGTTTGGGCCTTGGTCCTGCATGGTCAATATTACCTTACACAGTGTACTGAGGGTTTGGTACTCTGGGGACCACGGCAAAGGGAGGGAGGAAGAGAGAGAGAGAGAGAGAGAGAGAGGGGGGGGGGAGAGGGAGAGAAAGAGAGGACGAAAGAGAAAAAGAAAGAGAGAAAGATGTGGAGAGATATACGTATATATAGAGAGAAAGAGTTCTGGAGGCTTAAAATTAACGCCGCATATAACTATAATGATAATTGTAGAAGAGGCTCAACATACCGTAAAGTCGCGGATAAAAGCCGGGTTTGCATACAAGCACATTGCGGATAGAAGCCTGAAAATCAAACGAGTCAATGCATATAAGCCTGTCGCGCGTAGAAGCCTGGCTTCTATGCAAGCGCGGATCGGGTAGGTCAAGCGTGCATGCGCTATGTACAGTGCATAGTAAAACTGCCGCCATACCGGTTGTCAGTGGTAGATCTACGCGTGTCGCGCGTAGAAGCCTGGCTTCTATGCAAGCCCGGATCGGCCGATGTGCATACAAGCCTGGCAAAAATATCAGTGGTGCATATAAGCATGGTTTGCATACAAGCCTGGTTTGCATTGAAGCCTGATGCAGAAAGCGGCTTATTTCCTTATAAGCCCGGCTTTTATCCGCGTCTTTACGGTAATTATTTGGATCCACTGATGGCAGGCCGGTTTGATACGTGTACATGGCTAGCACCAGTCATGAGCAGAGCACCAGTCACTCTGTTGCAGGTGACAGTATGCAGCAATCTTGAAGTTCTGCAGGTGTTTCAGAGCTAGCTGCTTGTCCAGAACTGACTTTGGCAATCGATTCCACACTGGCACGTTGCAGTATGGGAAAGAGCGCAGAAGGTAGTCAAGAGCTCGTCGCAAGACAGTTCATCTCAAACTGGTGGGGATAGTGATGTGCTTGGGCTGCTCGTGTGCGGCGATGACGTGGCGGCATCGCCGGCGGGGAACACATGGCTGCTACTTGAGGCAGACCATGGCCACACATGAGTTTGTACAACAGGCTGAGAGCGGAGACATTTCGCCGAACAGTGAGGTTGGGAAGTATGGTGCCAGGGCCAATGACATTAAGGGCCCGTCATCCAGCAACATCCGATGTGAGGGAGCTGATCCCATCCACGCAAGTGAGGCATATTCAAGCATTGGCCGGATGAATCCTTTGTAGACAGTCACCTTGCCTGCTTGGCAGAGGAGGCCCAGCTGCTGCTTAGCACGTGATGCAATTTGCGAAGGTGGAGTCTGTAGCTAAGTTTGGAATCAAACGTCACTCCGAGCACCTTGAAAGATTCATCTTGCGGGTGAGAAGTTCCGCCGAATGACAGCTGTGGAGTCACGGTATCGTTCTGCTGGTGCGGTAGAGTAATGGTTTGCAATTTCGAAGGCTCAAACGCAATAGTCCTTATGCACGTTGTACAGATGTTCGAAGTTCTGTACTAGGGTCGTAGGTGTGTACATACCCGGTTCGGTGTTCATTGTGTGCTATGCATGCAGACCCATTCAGCCTCATAATTCAGGGCAAACAATCGCTTTTCCAGCTTCTTCACTTTGGGATTGAACTAACGACTAGCTGGATCTCTGCCAGAAAACGTTTTTGTATCATATACCT